GCAGAAAATCTGTCGCATGTTTATTGAACACCCTAACATAACTCTGCGCCAGGCTCCCTCTTTAAACCCAGCAACCCTCTTGCCCCAGCTCCTAGACCCGCTGGAACTTAGTGGTCACTCCTGCCCCCAGGCAGTTGAGGAACTAACACTGCCCTGACTCAGACTCGCTGATCAACCGTATCCTAACCCAGATCTACCTTTGTTGATGGCAGTTCTGTCGTAGATGCCCAGGGGGCAACGGCAGGCTGCGTATGCTGTCCTCTCACTTGACCAAGTCTGGAAAGCTGCACGCCTCCCAATAAAAACTACTTCCAAAAAAACAAAACTTGTTGCTCTCACTTGAGCTCTCCATCTAGCTAAAGGAAAAAACGGCTAATATATATTCTGATTCTAATTATGCGTTCCTTATAGCTCACTGTCATGTCAGCGTCTGGAAGGAGCAGGGATTTTCTGACTACCAAAGGGTCCCCCATAGTAAACAGTAAATTAATAGTTAATCTCTTACGGGCTCCTCAGCTGCCAGCAAAAGCAGCCATCATCCATTGCAAAAAAAACATCAAACTGATAACTCTCTTGTCTCCCTCCAAAGGCAGTTAACATCTTTAGCACAAGTCACCCTACAAAATCACCAAGCTCTCGATTTATTAACAGCAGATAAAAGAGGAACATGCATGTTTCTACATAAAGACTGTTATTATATTAATGAATCGGACATAGTTAAACAAAATGTTAAGGGATTCCGCACCATGGCCAATAAAATCAGGAAACGTCAGTGGAGCACCACCAGCTTCTCATGGTTTCAAAATCCTGCCCTGTCCTGGGTTACGGCCTCTGATAATAATCTGTGTGCTTTTGCTCTTAGCTCTGTGTGTGTTTAGATTCTTGCAGGAATCGATGAAAGATATCTCCAACCTGACCTTCAATCAGCTTCTTCACCCTTACAGTCCGCTGCTGACTGGCCCGCCTCCGAACCTTCCAACTCGTAATGCCCCCCTTCTTCGCCCTATCTCAACAGGAAGTAGTTAAGACAAAAAAACGTCACCGCATTACCAATATTAAGAAGTTTGGAATGTTTGGGCCGGGTCCGAACTAGGCAGCCCCTGTTTGGACTAAACTGAAGCAGTTCTGGGCCCTGCACATGCTTCCCTGCACATCCCAAAAGTCAGCAGTAGCCGGTGCCCGATAAGATAACCGCCAGATAAGATAACCAGTGAAACCAGATGTTCTGGGTTCAAAGAAAGCTGCGAGCAGTCTACAAGCAATTCTTGGAGTTTCCAGACCCCATATGCTGATTGCCATCATTGCCATACATTCCTCACCACCCCTTTAAAAGCCCTCGCCCCCAGCTGCTGAGCATGACTTCCCTGACCTATTGGCCTAGGTCATGGAACCTTGTCCGGGAGCTCCTTACCCCTCCCGCCTAATAAAGTCATTTCTGTTCCTCCTCTCCCTTGTCCTGTCAGTGTGTCCATCTCTCCATCCCTGTTCCTCAGTTCCGCCTCTGTCCATGTGTCGCCATCAACATTTCCAAGACATTTCCTTTCTACTTGAGCCCTTGGTGTCAGCTCCTCTTCCCGCCCCCCTCCCATCCTTATGAATCCTTGATCAATTGTATATTATTGTTGTTATTTCCCCTCTTACACTGTGAGACTATAACTCTTTACAAGAGTAAAAAAGCCCCATCTTTCTCCCTTGGAGAGGCTGGTGGTTTTGAACTGCTGACCTTGTAACCACTATGCCATCAAGGCTCCTCGTCTCCCCAGTGGAAGGTAAGAATTTTATCAGTAAATCACCAGTAATCAGAAGTCATATAAATTACAGATCCCTTGGGAACAATGGTGAGGCTGGCACAGGACCGGGCAGTTTTTGTGCTGTTGGGCTTATGGGTCAGAGCTGACTAGATGGCACCTAACACCAACAACTGGCCCTAATGGAAGGGCAAGCCCAAGGGCAAACTATCAAGGGATAATTTTCAGTCGGTTCATTTCTTGGTCAGAAATGAGCTATTTTTTTTGTGTTAACAAGGACTGGATGGAGAAAACAGACTGTGGCCTGGGAGGGGGAGGAGGAGGGGCTTGTTTGTGGGAAGCGAGAGGCGGCGAGATAGGATCGTGAATGGAGTGCAAGTCACCAGAATTATGTTCACACATGCAGCCCAGGGGAAGGGTGGAAGTTAGAGATAGAAAGGGCATTAGCCATTATCTGGTCCAGCCCCTTTCTCTTAAAGACTAAGAAACAAAGTCCCAGTGGGAAGGAGCGCAGAACTGATTGTGATTACACAACTCATTTTAAAAAGCGATTGAACCATGTAAAAAAAGGGGGGACGTTCTAAAGTTGATTATGGTAATGATTGTACAATTCCTCTTAATATGATTGAGTTATTGAATTGTATGATATGTGGATTATGTGCTAATAAAACTGTAAAAACAGAGAGAGAGAGAAACAAAGGCTTGAAGAAGTGAAATAAACAGTGGCCCTAAAACAAGAAACTAGGGCAAACTAAAGCCTAGCCTTTCCACAAGACAACTTTCCTTTAATATAAAACAAAATAATAAAAAGAATTGTTTAGAATGCCAACACAAATTGAGGAGACAAACTTAAAAAGAATCTCAGAGTTCAGTGACATTGAGATTTTGCTCAAACACACAAAAAATTGTATGGATTGTAAAGGCGTTTAGAAATTTGCTGAGGCTGTTTTCACAGACCTAATAGTGCGTGCCTGGGAGCCCCGGTGCTGGAGTGGTTACACATTGGGCTGCTAATCTCAAAGTCAACAGTTCAAAACTACTAGCTGCTCCTCGGAAGAAAGACGGGGATATCTACTCACATAAAGAGTTACCGGTAGTCTCAGAAACTAAGGGAGGCAGTTCTACCTTGTCCTGTAGGGTCACTATGAGTTCGCATTGGATGGCAGCAAGTTTGGAGTTTTAGTTAAGAGCCTCCTTGAGGAGCTCTGGTAACATAGTGGGTTGTGCATCGGGCTGTGAACTGCAATGGCAGCAGTTCAAATCCACCTGTCACTCCATGGGAGAGAGAAGAGGCTTCTGTTCATGTAAAGATTGACAGCCTCGGAAAGTCACAGCGGGCAGTTCTACCCTCCCCTGGAGGGTCCCAATGTGTGGGACTTGACTCCTGGGCAGTGAGTTCCGTTTTTGGAGCTATGCATCCTGGAGTGGTGCAAATGATAAGACTAGCTCAACTAGTTTTCATTTGTTTTAACTTTTTGTTGTGAAGTGGGTGAAAGAGTACAGAGCAAATTGGTTTTCCATTTCGCAATTCACACACGTCTTTTGTGTCATTAGTCAACACCCCCACAGTGTCACATCTCTCATCCCACTTATACCCTGTCTCATGTCACAGTGCTCAGCTGTTAACTGACACATTGCGGGTTCGATCCACTCAGAGGCTCCTTGGAAGAAAAAAATAGAAATAAAAAGACCGGCCCTTGAAAGCACACGGGGCATTGTTCTACTCTGACACATGCGTGGGACTGCTGTGAGTCAGAACTGACTAAACAGAAAGGATTTCTTGTTTTTAAAAAGGTTTCCTAGAGGCACACCTCCTCCCGGGTTTATGTTTCTTAAAAGGCTGGTAACAAGGAAGCAGAACGAGAGGCCATGTAAGGATTCAACAGTATTTCATTCGAGTCTGCTTTGGATCACACATCATGCCGGGTGTTGGAAATCCACAGGACAAAGTTCCGTGCAGCAGGGAAGAGAGTGTGAGAAACAAGCAATGCATTAAAGTGTGTTGTGTGTTGACACTGGCACGTGCAGCCTCCGATGGGTTTATCTCTGGCAAATAGTCCATGAGGTTTCTCTTCCGCTCTCAGTGTATTTGTTGGCTGCTCCTTATACTATCATTTGAGTCCCCCAGACACTAATTCTTTTCAATAAAACACTACAACAACATTTACTGTGCACCTACTGGTGTGTCACATATTGTGTGAGGATCCGCAAGAGAATTCCAAGGTAAATTAGCAATGTAAAATCGTTTTCTATGATGATGAAATTATTTTGGACTATATACGCCTGAGAGAATTTAGGAACGTTTGATAACAGAGGTGATCTGAAAAGTATTGTTCTGTATCCGAAAACCTTAGGCTTCTAGGATTTTACCGTAATCCTAGTTTTGTGAGCAAAATCAAAATCCCTTGATCCAGTTTTCCAGCTCTGGAAGGTTGTGTGGCTTCCCCTGCTTGGGGGGAAGGCCTCTGATCCTTTCTTAAAGGGCCAGTTCCCGGTCTGGCTCCGCTAAGCCGGTGCACAAGGTAAGCCCGCATTTTTCGCACCCCCTCTTTTGTATGGGGTCGCTAAAGATAGAAATCCACAGCAACGTTTCCCCGCGCTGCTTTGCAGCTCCTGCAGTTATCCATCATTTATTTATATAATCTTTTCCGTATTGACTTCATATGTTAATATCTTTCCTTAAACGGGATGGATCTTTAAGGACAGTCTTTAAGGCGGAGGGGTGTTATCCACCTACGAAGTCCGAGGTGGTGACGACGTTTCCGTGCGTTCACGCACAGAACGGTTCCCCTTCTCGTAATTGCAGGGGCTGTTTTATTAACCTTGGGGGAGTTCTGCCCTCCCTCGTTCGGCGATCAGGGTCATTTCATGGGGTGGGGAAGGAAGCCAGGTTGGCTGGGTGGCAGGGGAATGGCGTCAGAGTGAGGTCCCGAAGGCCATCGCCGCCCAGCAGTGACATTAACGCAGGCTTGAGGGATGCAGCTGCAGGAAAGATGAAGGCCAATCCAAGTCCTGCAGACGACCTGCACAACAGAAGGCAGGATGGAGAACAAAGCGGGGAACCCCGCGGGGCGGGGCCGGACACCTGGGCGTCCGCAGCCGGCTCCCGCAGCGGGTGAGAGCCGAGCGCCAGAGGCCACGCACGGGCCGGGCGGCGTGGGGGCGGGACTTCCGGGGTCCATTTGCCTGAGTGGCAGGGGAACCGGAAGTGGAGGCGCTGCTGCTGGTGCTGGGGCCGGAGGAGGGACGCGTCGGAGCGGGGCCGCCGGGACTGAGCGAGGGAGCGACAGACGCGCCACCCGCCGACGCCGCAGCCGCTTGGGGCCCGCACGGACCCTTTACCTGAGTGAGTGCATCCAGAGTCGCCAGGAGCCGGTGACTTAGAGGTGAGGCTGCGATTTGTTATTGTGAGAAGCCCGCGATCTCCCCTCCCCCACGGCCCGGCGCCCCTCCCCCCCGCGCCACCACTTCCCCGCCGGGCCCTTGGGGGTCTCCCGCGCGCGCCTTCTCCGCGGGCGCGGCGTTGGCTCTCCAGCCGCCCGGGACCTCCCCGGCCGCTCGCCATCCCTGGAGAGCCTTTCACCCGCACCCCGCTCCCAAACCTGTCGGTTTCCCGCTGCCGCCAGCCGGTTGCTCAGCCCCGCCTTTCCCGGTTGAGGATGGTCGCGGCAGGCCGACCCCCTTCGCGTCCACACCCCCTGGAGTAGGCCTCCCCTTGGCCGCTGGTCGCTCCTGCCCGTACCATCTGTAGCAGTTCTCGTCTCGGGCTCAGCTGTTGCCTCCGTCCCTGAGGTTGAACCTCTGACCCATCTCGCTCTTTTCCCGGGGGCCATTACGTGGGCCCTAACCAGTCACTCGGCTCTATTTGAACCAGGCACTTTTTCCTCCCTCTTTCGTGGAAAAATTTCAACTCTTCCGCAACTTCTCCATTTCCTCCTCCAACGTATTCAAAAGACCCCCTAGACTGTCATGACTCAGAAGCGATTATTTCCTAGGGGACCGTCCAGTCTAGCACCCCATTTTAGAGACGGGAGACTCAGAGCGGTGGGTGCTTTACCCCAGGTCATGCAGCTTGTTAACCAGCTAGGAGGGAGGTTTTTTTAAGTGCCTTACTCCCGGTTCACGGGTTTATAGGTTTGATTGATCGCAGGCATGAAGACTTCCTGCTCCTTACATCAGCTTTCCAAAGCAGGACTTCCAGAATTTATGTACAAACAATATTCTTTTTAAAAGAGACAGGGAAGTCCACCTGGACCCACCTGGGGACTCATTTGATCAGCTTTAAATATGAGGAGTTTGGGTGATAGGTAAAGGTGTAGACAAAGGTGAAAGGAAACAGAGGACTAGCTGCCCTGAGACTGGGATGGTGGCCTGGTAGGGTACGCATTGGGCCAGCAGGGTAGGCTGGGAATTTCAAACCCACCAGCAGCTAGCTCTATGGGAGAAAAATGCGTCTGCCCCCATAAAGATGTACCATCCTAGAAACCATCCTGTTGACTCAGCAGGAGACCTAAAGACAACTTTGTATCTTTAAGTTCTTCTCCTGGGTGCATAGAGGCTCCCTCTGTGTAGATTAGCCTAGCCCGGGCAGAGCAAATGATTGTGTGTTAATTTCTTGGCCTGTGCATTGGATGATAAATTATGGATGTGCTGGATTCAGGATGAAGCACCGCCTTCCTTTTCAGATTAACCTTGCCAACTCCCTGTGACAATGAAGTGCAGCCCCCACTCTCCCCCCACCCGGAACTGTATCCTGGTTGAAAAGAAATATCCCTAGGGTTAGGGTTAAAGAAATAGAAAAAACAATTAAAGAAAGAAACATCCCACTCAGTTTGAGAATTTGTAATTCTTTTGTTTAAAAATGGCCTTCTACAATGCTGGAATTCTGGTACTTTACTGTTAAATACTGGTATTATACTGTTATGGTCCAAGTACAGAAGATGGAGACAGTAGGGACACTGGAAATGAAACCTCCAGTGTAGGTTGTTCCAAATGCGCTCGCTGTTGTGTTGCCTGTCGGAAGGGAATGGTTTGCTCCACTGTGCAATGACTATGAATCAGTAAGCTAGATGGAAATCACATCTCTCAGTGGGTTCCTTCTTAAAAAATCACCGATTACTGCTTTCTCCATTCTGAAGATCTCTCTGTTTTAATCTTGCCTTCTACCTGAGGCAGGGCACCCAAAAGTTGCCCAGATTTTTATGGCCTGCCACAGTCTGAGAGGAGCTTTGGTGGTAAAGTGGGTTACTCCTTGAGCTGCTAACCGGAAGGAGGCTTGGCAGTTCGAAACTACCAGCCGCCCCATGGGAAAGATGACATTTTCCACTCTAAAGAGTTCAGTCTTGGAAATCAGCAGGAGCAGTTCTCCCTGTCCTGTAAGGTTGCTCTGAGTTAGAATCAACTCAGTGGAGTATGTGAGTGAGCACAGTCTGAGAATCCCTGGTGGCGTATTAGGTTATACCTTGGGCTGCTAACTACAAGGTCCGCAGTTCAAGACCACCAGCCACTCTGCAGGAGATAGAAGACTGACAAGCTCAGAAACCCACAGGGGCAGTTCTACCCTTTCTTTTAAGGTTGCTCTGATTTCGGAAGTGGCTTGATGGCCGTGAGTTTGAACACAGCCTGCTATCTAGGTAGCAGTTCCTGACTCAGTCTTTTTTTATTTTTTTGCTCCCTGACTCATTCTTCATTTTTACTTTAAAGAATATGTTGTCTCCAGGTGGCATAGTGGATACAGTTTGGGCTGCTAAGGGATAGGTTAGCAATTCAAAACCACCACCTGCCCTGTGGAGAAAATGAGGCTTTCTACTCCTGTAGCTACAGTCTCAGACGCTCACATGGGCGGTTCTGCCCTGTCCTGTAGCTGTGCTGTGAGTTGAAACTGACTGGGCAGCTGTAGAGTTTTGAGGAATTGTACATTTCCTCCTGGTTCTCAGGGCTAGCATGTGTTTGTGGCTCCGTTTTCCTTTCCCTTCTATTTGAAAATGTTACCAACGCACAGGCATCAGTAAAACTAGGAAAGCTACTTTGTATTGTAAGATTTTTCATTTGGCAAAATCAGACAAAACTCAAGTGTCTGAGGCACAAAGAAACAAGCTTTCCCTCAGATTCTTTGCTCTTCTGGAGGAAAAAGAAAGTATTCATGGCGAACCCACCACCCACTGCTGTGGAGTCCATTTGGACTCCGAGCAGCCCTGGAGAGGATTTCCAAGGTGGTACATCTTTCCAGGAGCAGAGAGCTGCATCTTTGTCCCACACACGGAATGGCTGGTTGTGGGGGGAGAGGGGGGGTTTGACTGAGCAGCCCATTGCTTATCTTACAGCACCACCAGGGTTCATAGTTAAGGGGGCAGGGAGACCAGATAATTGGGAATATTTTTACATCTCCCAATCATACCTGCTCTGTAACCTGAAATACATGATATTTTGTTCCCCAGTTTCTGTGCCCAAGTAATTTTTGTTATTTTTCCTGTGAAGAGATTTAGGACCAAGGTTGAAGTGTTCTGCTCAGAAAGTAGGTTTTCATAGAAAATAGCAAATCAACTTGCTAAGTTCAGATGTATCGCTTTCACAAACCCAAAGCCAAACTCACTGCCATTAATTTGAGCCGGAGTCACAGACTTTATTTAGGTTTTCCCAGGCTACCGAGCTATAGAGGAGCAGTGACGCCAGGAAGCAGCTGGAGGGTTTGAACTGCTGGCCTTGAAATTGACAGCCCAATGCTTTTCCATAGGGCTCCTTATGGTCCCATACAAGCTTTTCTATATAAAAGCCTAATGCCCTCTGCATTGAATATTCAGTGGAACATGTGGGGAGAAGTAAATCGGGTCTAGAAGTGAGTTTAGCCTGAGTTCACATCCCAGCTCTCCTACTCATGAAGCGCATCTCTTTAATCTCTTTGAACTTCAGTTGTCTTTAATAACAAAAAAACTAAAACAATGTCTTGTAAGCAGTAAGTTCTTAGCAAATGTGTATTGCAGTGATTATTTTAGATCAGTTTACTTGTTGGTTGAGTTCTGAAAATCTGTGTCTGTAAATTGATCATAGATCTAAGAAAACTCCACTACTGTCAAGTAGATTGGGACTTAAATGGCCCTAAAGGGAAGAATAGGCTTTCTGAAGCTGTAAATCTACAGAAGCCGACTGCCTGATCTTTCTTTTGGGGAGCCACTGGTAGGTTTGTACTGCCAGCCTTTCAGTTAGTAGCTGGGTGCTAAACCCACTGCACCAGCAGGGCTCCTGAAGATCTGAAGAGATCCTAAAAGAACATTAATCTTGACAGTGGAGTATATGCACCAGGGAATGTAAAAGACAATCTTGGAACACCAGAGTGAGTCAAAAAGTATTGCTATCTGGTTTCAGTTCTTATGTGCCGTGGTTTGCAAAAATGATTTAACCACGTCTCTGTGATCAATGGGTGCCTGCAGGCAAATTCTTGCAGTAATTCACTTATCTCATTATGGGAGTAGACAGTCTCACTCCCTCAGAGCAGCTGATGAGTTTGAACCACTGAGCTTGTGGTTAGCAATTCAGTGTCTAACCCACAGTGCCACCAAGGTTCCTTTTCCAACAGACAAGAGTACACAATAAGGAAGCTTGTTTCAGGAGATAGTTTCTCAGTAGAGATTCAAGAAGAGGCCAAGTGATTGAAGAACAGGACAGCATAAGAGGGTGAGTCAAGAAGGATCGCTATTGACCCATAGAAAACTCTATGAAACAGATATTAAAGTGTGATGCTGTTGTTTCTCAGTCTGTCTTCTCTCAAGATCTGTCACTTCTGATGGCAGTGTTTTCATCTCTAACCCTCTCCCCCAAAGAATTCTACACTCTTCAATTTATACCACGTCCAAAGGGCAGTCTTGGCTCCTTAAGGCACTCAAGTTGTGCTCCTTTGAAATGTTCTTTGCGTTTGGGGAGTAAAAAGCAGCCTGAAGGGGCAAGGTTGGGGCTGGAGGGTGGTGGGGTAGGGTAAGGTTTCCCAGTGAAATGCTCACAGGACAGTGGTTGCTACTCTGGAAGAATGAATAGGTGCGTGGTCATGATGGGGGCGGGTTTCCTTGGCACAATAATCTTAGGCTCTTTCTCACCAATGTAGTTTTCAAATATCTTTAAGTTTTAAACTACTTCTGTGACCTTGACCCAATCTACCAAGATTATCCTTTTAGAGCCCTCTTAAAATAGTCTCCCCAGCTTTCTGAGTTGTTCTTTGCTGTTGAATTTGACTGGCCCAGTAGATTCCTCTCAGAAACCACTGTTTGGATTGGATCGCTCTGTTTTGTTTTTAGAAGGCACCCTAAGGAAACTAAGAAGTGTATTACTGAGAGTACTTGTCTGCAGATACCCACTGATCACTGAGACAGGTTTACTTGCTTTTTGTCTAGTATAAATCCATGCGTGTGTGAACTTGAACCCTAGTGGTAATATGTTTTGTGTATACCGTAGTGTACACACACACGTACTCTGTACTAGATAGATTTTGAAATGTCCTTTTTGACCATGCATGCAACGCCATTCATCTTTATTGTGTCATTCCCAACATAGTAAACCATGCTATCTTCTAATTAAAAATCACCAATACCAGCCCATTTCAGCTCACTAACAACTAGAGTGTTGATCTTTATGTGTCCTGTTTCATTTTTAACTTCCACTTTTCTTAGATTCATACTTCATACATCCCATGATCCGATTATTGATGGATGTACGAAATGAGATCTTCTCCTCGTTTGAAGGTCCTGAAGGCTATACTCCCCCAGGCTTTACTCCTTCCCACTCATTATGGTCGACTCTACTTTGAGAAGGCAGCTCTTAATCATATTTTGAGTCCCTTCCTTCCTGAGGAGCTTAGTGGCATACTGGTGATGTGTTGGGCTACTGATCACAAGGTCAGCAGTTCCAAACCAGCAGCCACTCCTTAGGAGGAGGGTGGGGCTTTCTACTTCTGTAAAGAGTTACAGTCATGGAAACTTGGGCAGTTCTACCCTGACCTATAGGGTTGCTATGAGTTGGCATCGACTCAGTGGCAGAGTTTGGTTTTTATGGTTTCAGCCTAAGGGACCGTCCTTCTGCCATTCTCTGTGGCAATGCTCTGCTTCTGTTCATTAGGTTTTCAGTAACTGAGAGTGTTTCAGCCCTACCCATAGGGTTTTCAGTGGCTTATTCCTGTGAAGTAGACAGCCTTCATTCAGTGTCTGTTTTCAGTCTGGAAGCTCTGCTGAAACCTGTTCCCTTTGGGTGACCCTGCTGGTACTTGCAATACCATACATGGTGGAGAGCCCCCATCGATACCAAAATTCACAAGTACCCAAGTCCCTTATATGAAATGTCATGGTGTTTGCATCTAACCGACACAATCCTTCTGTATACTTTAAATCACCTTGAGATTACCTTTCATACCTAATGCAATGTAATGCTATGTGAATTACACTTTACAGATCCATCTTAGGCTTTGAGGGATTACTTTGACCACTTACATGTCCCCTCCCACCAATATTTGCTCTCCGCAGAGAGAGAGAGAGAGAACCAGCCCTGGTGATTCAGTGGTTCAGTGCTTGACTATTAATCGAAATACTAGCGACCTGGACTCACCAGCTGCTTGGTGGGGAGAAAGATGGGGCAATCTGCTTCTGTCAGGATTCTACCCTAAGACCCTCCGGAGCAGTCCTCCTCTTCTATGGAATTGTATGACCTGCAACCTATGAGTCAGCATTGCCTTGTGGTAATGAGTTGGGTTTGGGTGGCGCTTGGTTAAGCATTCTGTCACCAGCCAAAAGGCTGGTGGTCAGGATTTAGCATGCTGTGCCTGTGCAGACAAGCGTGGCGATCTGCTTCCGAAAACCCCCAGTCTTGAAAACCCTCTGGAGCGGATCTGCTCTGTGCACACGATCTCACCACGAGTTGCTGTCAACTCCACAGCAGCTAAGGGCAACAGCAGGATTTTATTTCAGACCTAGTGTTATTTAGGATTGGGCTTACCGGTGTGGGCAATCCGTGTTGCTAGTCTTTGCTTCAATAATTTTTCATGAGTGAAGACATGCTTCCATGTCTAGGGCTGGCTGTTTCCGGATTCTGAAAAACGACCACCTCGACAGCCCCTGTGCTTTGCATACCTAGTAAATACGTACTGAGTATGTGGCACCCAGTCCCTTTCCTGAGGAAGCTTAGCTGTGTTTGACATTGGCTCGGGAATGAAAAATCGATTGCCCACAAAGAGTATGTCTTCCTTTTTTCTATAAGTGACTATGAGGATACTAACAGATGGGCATAAATACAAGTCTTTCCTTTTTCGTTTCTCTCCTAACCACACTATTGCTTCCATGGGAGGAAAAGGAAACTCTCTGCTCCTATAAGAATCCACAGCCCAAGAAACCCTATTTAGGGCCACTATGAGTTGGAATTGAATTGACCCAGTAGCTGTGGGTTTGGTGTTTTGGTTTTAATATCAGCTGCAAAGGCAGCATCTCTCTCTCTGACCCTAACCACCTGAAGCTAGAACTCACAAGTTAAAAGTATATCCTTCCATTTGTCACTCAGGAGGCTTCCAAGAACACCTCTCAATTATGATCAGCTCTAGGTTTAGGTTTAGGAGTATCTTCACCCTCAGAGCCAGTCACAAGTTCAGGGGTCACGGGCCACTTAACTGCAGCCCTGTGGGCACTTAGTACTTTCTTGAGCCCAACTCCCTGCTATCGAGTGAATTCTCATCTTGGGAGATCAAGTAGGGTCGAATAGAACTGCTCCCTGGGGTTTTGAAGATGGAAATCCTTTGGGAACAGATAGCCTCCTCTTTCTCCCTTGGAGCAGCTCAGAGCAAACTCATTGCCAGACTCCATTTTGTCATCGTGTCCAATAGTGACACGATTGGAACAACCCACAGACAGCTCTAGACATACAATGACAGCTGTATTTTAAAGGAGGTGCGTAGGGTGAGGTCTGGGAAGGTTCCCAAAGTGAAGACTGGCCCAAAGGAATCTCAGCATCCTCCGGAGAACAGGTGTGTCCAGAGCTTTGGGGGTCTCGGTGTGTAATGCAAACTCCAGCTCCTCTTCCTTGTTCCTGGCTCTTAGGAGGTGATCATGAGTAGGTCTTAAAAACTGAGGGTTTGTTGTTGTCAGGTGCTGATGGTCCCTTTGTACAACAGAACAAACAATGCCAGCCTGGTCCGGTGCCACCCTCACAATTGTTCTTATCTTTGAGCCCATTGCTGCCGCCATTGTGCCTGTCAGTCCATCTCATCAAGGACCTTCCTCGTTTTCAGTGCCCCCTCTCCAGGGACTGCTCTCTCCTGACAGCATGTCCAAAGAACATGAGACACAGTCTCACCATCCTCGCCCCTAAGGAGCATTCTGGCTGTACTTCTTCCCAGACAGATTTGTTCTTTTGGCAGTCCACAGTACTTTCAGTAGTCTTCTCCAGCACCGTCACTCAAATGCACCACACCTTCAGTCTTCCTTGTTCAGTGTCCAGCTTTCACATGCACAGGAAGTGCTTGAAAACACCATGGCTTGTGGAAAGACCAAATTTGGGAGGTAAAATTAACATAAGCCCCACCTTTCCCCCAACACCAGAATTTTTTCTTTCCATGTCTTTTGCATATGTGAAATGTCTTCTCATGTCTGTGGTGTATACTCTCCAGAATTGCTCAGAAGTAGTCTCGATA